TCCCATATGGTCCCCTGAGCACCGCCAGGAGTAACTCCTGAGTGCAAAGCCAGGAGTAACCCCTGTGCATCGCCAGGTGTGACCCAAAAAGCAAAAAAAAAAAAAAAAATATTTTTTAAATAGAAAAATTTATCTGGTCTGCTCTAAACTTTATGAACCAACCTCTGAAAATAATTTGATACTCAAGGGGAAAAAAAGGCAAAAATCAAAGAAAACAATTTGGCCAAATGAAGTAACAGCCAACTACTTTATTTCATTTACAAAAGAAAGCATCACTTCTGCCAAAGTGGATTCTATGCAGGGCAAAATTCAGTCACCTACATCATAATATATCCAATGCTCATTTTTGATCTTCCTGTCTGCTTTTTTTTTGGGGGGGGGGGGCGCGTCACACCCAGCAATGCTCAGGGGTTATTCCTGGCTCTGCATTCAGGAATTACTCCAGGTGGTGCTTGGGGGACCACGTGAGATGCTGCAGATTGAACCCAGGTTGGCCATGTGCAAGGCAAATGCCCTACCTGCTGACTATTGCTCTGGTCCCATTCCTGTCTGCTTTTAAGGAGTTTAAGTAGACCCCTGACATACAAAATTATGCAAAGTATCATAATAAATACCTTTCTTCTTAAGGGGCCAGAATAATAGTACAGTGGGCAGGGCAATTGCCTTATGTGCAGTACCCTGCCCACTGTACAAACTGCTGCGCTGGTTTGATCCTAGCACTCTGTTCAGTCCTCTAAGCCCCATCAGTGTGATCCCTGAGCACAGAGCCAGGGGTAAGGTCTGAGCAACAGTGTGGTCCAAACCTCCGCCAAAAAAAGTTTTATCTCCAAATAATAAGTATTTTGGGTATATGTAAACCAGTCCATTAAAATAGATTATACATATATATGTTATTATTAGTATTCACTGAAGCTTCATAATACTTTACACACAGTAGTAACTTGTGTAAGGTAACAATATTGATACAGTGCAAAGTTAGGATTCAAAACAAGATCTGTCAGAAATCATTTTTGGCTAAATCATTTTAAGTGTGGGCTATAGGATCATATCTTTGGTTTAAATGACGATCATATTCTCTCAGAATATACTTTCTAGGAGCTAAAGTAATAGTACAGCAGGTAGGGTATCTGCCTTGTATGTGGCCAACACAGGTTTGATTTCCAGCATCCCATGTGGCCCCCAAGAACTGCCAGAAGTAATTCCTGAGCACAGAGCAATAAATAACTCCTGAGCACCACCAGATGAGGCCCCAGACAATGACCAAATAATAATAAATAAAAAAGAATTCGTGAACAAGTCATTTGTTATTATAGTCCTGGGAGAGCAACAAATATTGGTATCTCTGGGGCTAGAGTGATAATACTGAGGCATGTCTTGCATGCAGCCAAGCCGGGCTCCAACCCTAGCACCACATATGGTCCCCTGAGCCTGCCAGGAGCAATCCCTGAGCTCGAGCCAGGAGTAAGACCTGAGCATCATAGCTAGGTGTGGCCCCAAACTAAAAACCAAATAAATTAATATTTGCATTCCCTTTTTTAGCTGAGAAAACTGAAGCCTAGGTTGAACAAGGTCTAAAATTACAGAAGTTGCAAGGGTCAAAACTGGAATTAGGAAACTCAGTTATCAATAACTATGACATATCAGTGAGATGAGCATTGGAATATAATACTAAGGATCCTCCATATATACCGTTTTTTTTTGTTAGAGGGTAGGTCATTGTGAAACTGAAAATTCCCAGATTTTCCCCTTAATAGTTTTGTTTTAAATGATTATTTATGCTTTGGTAATACATGTTAAGCATTATTTATAAAGCCCAAACGTTTATCATTCAATAAAAACTGAACCAAAAAATAAAAATGAAAAAATTTTAAAAACTATATAAACCTCAAGTACTAAATGTGAAAATATAAGCAATTCTATCCTCATCTGATTTTGAACAAACTGCTAGACGAAGGCCACTTTGGAAAATATACTTTCTATGATTTGGAGAATGATTTTAAACCATTAAGCAATATAGGAAGCTTTTGAAGGGCTGTCAGATTTTAAATGACAACCGTGAAATTTCAAAAAGAACAGGAGAAGTCAGCACCAAAGCTAGTTTAACATTAATAATAAGTGATCTAATAAATAGGTCTATGTTTGCCCAGTCAGGTTTTGCTTATTATGTCAGTTGGAAAGCAGGAAGGGAACTGGTTTTAACTCCCATTCAACCTGTATCATGACAACATTTTTTTATCAGAAATGTGGCTGATGTCAGCATAACACTGAGATAGTTCATGCTTAAAACTGACCTTCCTTTTCTATTTTCATAATTTGTTCTGTTATAGAACTGAGATAACCTTCTTAGAAAGGGTAATTTATATTTGCTGAAAATCTCCTATATGCAAGATATCACTTGAATTTTTGCATTTAATTTCTCATAGTCAACCAGCAAAATATTTATCTTGTCTTTCAAAGAAAGAAACATTTGGGTCAGAGAGATAGTACAGCAGATAGGGTGCTTGCCTTGCACTAAGCCAACCTGGGTTTGATCCCTGGATACTATATGATCCACTGAACACCAAGTGTTTCTTAGAAAAAGAGAAGAAACATTATTCTTGACTAAGGTCACATAGCTAGTAAAGGAGGCAGAGCCAAGGTTCAAACTCATGTCAATTATTATAATGTTCCAAAGCACAAGCAGCTCTCTTGTTTCTTGTACAGTAACGTCTCTGGGGAAAATACAACAGATTCTAAGGACTGAACAGAGTATTATAAATTGTTCTAGTACCTCAAAATTAGTAATAAAGTTATACTGGCCTTTGAAAAATTTCTGGAAAGGTCATCGTGAAGGGTACTTTAAGGATACTTTAAAACACCTTGAAGTCAAAATACTAGGCCGTCAAGTAGAAAAAAGTAATATAAATATAACATTTACTATTATAGACAGAGGGCTGGGGCAACAGCATACCAGGTAGGGCGTTTGCCTTGCATGTGGCTGACCTGGGTTCGAAACTTCTGTCCCTCTCGGAGAGCCCGGGAAGCTACTGAGAGTATTCTGCCCGCATGGCAAAGTCTGGCAAGCTCCCCATGATGTATTCAATATGCCAAAAACAGTAACAATAAGTCTCAAAATGGAGATGTTACTGGTGCCCACTCGAGCAAATCGATGAAGAATGGGAGGACAGTGACAGGACAGTGATTATAGACAGAGAGCACTCCCCCCCCCCCCCCCAAAAAAAGACATAACTATTTCTAATCCAAAACAAACCTGTTTAGAAAATATTAAAAGATCACCAGAGTAAGCTGGCTCAAAGCAGCATTCCTTGGTGTTAAATCCATAGAAGACTAATCCCTACAAAAATACTGGAAGATCATGAGTTTCCATAGTCAAACAAGTTTGAGAAATGCTGAACTTAATGCTAAACTAGTTCCCTTACCAGTTACAAACATTACATTGCAATACTTTAAAGGACGTCCTCTGGAGTCAATCTATCTGGATTTGAATCCTGGCTCTAAAACCTACTAGCATTATCATGTAACTTTGGCCATGTTACCTACCACTCTGAGTCTCAGTGTTCTCATCTAGAAAAACGTAATAGGATCCTGGAAGATAGTTCAAGTGTAGTGCACATGCCTAACATGCAAAGGCCCCGAGTTTGATCCTGGGCACTGCACGGCTTGTAAGCACCTCCTAGTGCCCACTCCCCAGCAACTCCAGGTGTGGGACCAGTGGCCCCTATGTCCCCTGAGCACCAGCAGCTCTCACAAGATTGAACTCTGCCAGGAATGGCCTTAGGAACCCTAATGCCCAGATGTAGCCCCATTATAAAAATAATAAGGTAACTGTAGAATCTAGAGTTTCTGCACAGATTAGAAATAGTGACAAATGTGGTGTTAGAGCCTTAAAATAGGTGCTGGGCCAAGAGATAGTACAGAGGTTAAGGTATTTACCTTGCATGCAGCCTACCTCCTGTTTGATCCCTGGAATGACATATCGTACCCCAAACACACCAGGAGTGACCCCTGAGCACAGAGCTAGGAGTAAGTCAACAACAGAAAAATTAAAATACAAAACCTAAAAAGTGTCTAATAAATATTAAATTATTAATAGTATAGTTTTATTAAGCTAATAATCATTATGAATTGCCAAGAAGGAAAGGTCATAGTTTCCCAAACTTACATATTGAACCCACTTTACAAACCATCCATTAGAAAATTACTTTTTTTTTAACTATAGTTAGGTACCATGGGTATAACAGTGTTAACTTTTATGTTTCAAGTAAAAAGTTCCTGCATCTTCACCACTACCAAAATGCCCAAGAACCTCTACCACATCCTGATGTCCCTTCTAGTCTTCTTTCTTCCAAAAATTAACATATTGATATAATGGGAGAAATGCAGCACAAAATAGTTTTCAAAACAATTTTAAAAAGCAAAACTTAAAAGCACAATGGAGAATTCCATCTATAAAACAAAATGTTTTCTAAGAAATGAGTGTATCGATGTAATAAAAGGGAATCATATAAAATATGCATAGAATAGCTCAATACTTCTTTCCTCCATACCATATTAGGCATAGCTCTTCCACCTGGCTACTCCTGAGTTATATCCTTAGGGGGCAGGGAGGTTTCACAGGGTACATCCTGCGGTGCTCAGGGGCCACTCTCTAGTCTATGGTCAGGAGCAGCTCCTGTTCGTGTCGAGGGATCATATGCAGTAGCAGAAATTAAACCTGGGCCTCCTTCAAACAAAGTACTTGCTGAGCTCACTGAGCTATCTCTCTGACCCCCTTATTTGTATCCTTAATATTCAACCAGCAATCTTGCTTTATAGAAACCAGCACATAGACTCAGTGCCTGAAACTTGTGGGGTGTAATATATTATTTAATGTCAGACAGATGATATCATAAAATTACACATATCAGTATTTCTACAAAACACCACAATTCTAATTATTCCAAAACTGAAGAAAGTCTGAGCGCATATTTCATTTTATTTTAATATATTTCATTTTAAAGGGAATGAGTGTAGAAGAAATAGCTAAGAGGACGGAAGAACCTATGGCTCCGGGCACATCTCTTTGACTCCACCGGTCTTCCTGCATTAACATACGCCTCAGAGGCCTAGGCCCTACAAAAACAGGATGAGAACGGGTCTCCCAAAGAGGAATCGAAAGAGCTATGCTTAGAATATCACGCTTCACTCAAGTGAGAGAAGGAATCCGAAGTTCCGACCTCCAACGACGATTGAAAATCAGGGACGCTGTCTTGTTTGCCAAGGCACTGAAAATCAGATGGGTTGGACACGTAACACGATTTGAAGATGACTGCTGGACTAGAGCCGTTACACAGGATGTCAAAAGATAGTGTGGCCACCCACCTACGAGATGGTCAGACTTCTTCATCAAGACCCTGAATGAACAGTTTGAGACTTTGTGTTCCTGGAGCAAGCAGACACCATTGGGCTACACTAGCACGCGATAGGGACAAATGGAGACATTACTGGTGCCCGCTTGAACAAACTGATGAGTAACAGACTGGCAAGTGATCAAGTGATATTTCGTTTTGGGGCCACACCTGACTATTCTCAGGATTTACTCCTGACACTGAACTCAGGGATAACTCTTGGCAAGGCACAAGGAATCATAGTGGATGGCAGGTGTGGCTGTAAGCACTTTATCTGCTGTACTATCTTTCCGTCCCCAGAGAACAATCCCCCCACCCACCCCAATATATTTTAAATATGCCAAAATAATGTAATATGTAATCTTGGTTTAAAAAAACATTTTGGGAGAGCTAAGCTTTAAATGTACTATTTTGCTATCTTATTGACATTTTCTAATTCCCAAATACCAGGGGTTATGCTTTATGACCTAAATATTATTGCGATATTAGACTTACAAAGAGATCACGAAACCAGATTATTGCTGTTCCTTCCTTTTGGAACTCGTAACTTTTCATACTCCCCTTCAACCTGGCATCAAGCTTTGCAAATGCCTGAGGTCCCAGTGATTTTTCACACCTAATTTGGGCTCAGTATCATCACCACCCCTTCAAAGCAAGCTTGTCAAGGTCAAAAGATTAAGTGACACCAAATAACTTCCATTCTACATTTCTCCTCACCCAGGGTTAAACCTTGACACAGAAGAGAAACAACTCCATGCTCAGGTTCTTTATGGCATGCTGAGCAAAGATCCAGATTGCTACACATTGATTAGTAGAGCTGAAAACAATGAAATTATCAAGTTTTGTGTATAACTGAGCATATCAGTCTGTCAATATAAAATACATTTTTCCACAAAATAATAATTTTGGTATCAGCTAAGACTACCACTACTACAGTCACCCAAAATGTAAGCCCTTTCAATAATTAATCCCCTCTAAATAAAACCCATTTTTCCTACTGCACTGATCTCATTCACTTCTGTTGTATTCTCTGTACCCTCCACCTCTACCACCATCACACTTTCACAATAATTTTATTTCCTAGCAGTCCATTATGCTATTCTATTATAAATAAATGCCTTAAAATCTGAACAATTTTACATTCAGTCTTATCTAAATTAAAATGAAGAGCAAGCTATTCTTTCTCTCACCTTACAAATGTAAAGCATGGATGGCATTCTTTGTTTATCATAGTTCTACATTCTCATATAATGTAGAAGTTGGTGTCTTTTGAAGTTGGCATCATCTGTCCCTATTTCTTGTTTCTGTCATCTGCTGACCTACTGATCATTGTCCCACATAAGCTTAAGACTTTGGAACCGGTTCTGAACCTTTCCACACATTGCTTTGCCACCTTTTGGAGTAACTCTCTTCCTATATAGCGGATTCATTAGTTTTTATTTCCCTTATCCGTACTCCAATAACCTTCACTTTCTCTACACTTCAGAAACCCTTTCCCTAGTCATGTCTTTGATTCAGTCTGAACTGTTTCTCCTATTTTTAAGGGGGAGGAGGTGTAGGGGGACCACACCTATGAGTTCTCAGGGGCTACTCCTGGTTCTGAGTACACAGGGTTGCTTAGGCTGCAACATGGTGCCTGGGAAGAAACCAGGGCCTCTTGTACACAAAATATGTGCTCCAGCCTGTTGAGCTATTTCCCATTAAAAATATTAAATTTCTGGGGACTTGATCATTGTATAACTGAAACCCAAGCACAAAAATAAAAAAAAAGAAAAAAAAATAAAACAAAGTAGAAAATAAAAAAGAGAAAAAGCAGAAAGAAAATTTAAAAAAGAAGAAAAAAAAAGAAAAAAAAAAGAAAGAAATAAGTTTTTATTTAAAATTATTAAAAAGAAAAAAGAAAAAGAAAAAAAAGAAAAAAATATTTAAAATAAATAAATAAATAAAAATATTAAATTTCAATATACAATCTCAACCACTTCATATCTCAGCACTTTTCAGTATAGACTCAAAGGCCCATCACTTCAAACACCCTCATTATTTGAATCTTGGCACCCTATCTCTTCTGCCACACTGCAAAACCCATACCAAGATTAATTCACTGTGCAACTTGTCTGCCCAGATACTGAAGGTTCTGAGCCTTGAAAGAAGGGGTGAAAATTACTCAAACAACTTACCTATCCCAGTCACAAAAAAAAAAAAAAAAAGAACTAACGCAAGAACTACCTCCCATTTGGTTAATTTCTAATTTTCCTCACTGGCCGTCTCAAAATTTCCTTTTCTCCTCAGATTTTCTCCTTCAAATTACCATCTTTTTTCCCCTATAATTTCAGCTAATGATGTTATACCCCAATTCTTTCAAAAAACATGCTATCATTTGTGTTGATATTCCAAATTCCCCATCTGCACTCCCCTTCTTCCTTTATTCTACGTGAATGGAACTTATATTCCTATTTAAACCCAATACCTTCACTCCATTTCCTGTATCTCAAGGACACTGTGCAGTCTCACAAATCTCCTTTTCACTCTAGTTTCAATTTCTCCATTTTTACTGACTTTTCCTATTTAACATATAAACATACTACTGAAATTTCTCTTATCTTGACACAGAAGATCCCTCTACCTACTTCCTGCTACCCCACTTTTTTTCCCCATGATCAATCTTTTTTCCTCAGAATTTACCTGAGCTATTATTTAAAATGGTATTAATATTAATGGTGTAGTCATATAATACTATGGTACTACAGCCACCACCATAATACCAGAAGTCCTTTGTCCCTTCTCACTCCTGCTTTTCCTTCATCCTTTGCAAACTCATTCTATAGGCAGAATGTCAGATTTGTTCTCTGTGATCATTATCTATTCCCTTGCTTTGCCTCCTTATACTCCACATACGATTGAGATCATTTGGCATTTTCCCTTCTCTCTCTCTCTCTCTCTCTCTCTCTCTTTCTTGTGTGTGTGTGTACGCACGTGCGTTAGGGCCACAAACATAGTATTTAAAGTCTACTCCTGGGTCTGTGCTCAGGGGTGACTCTTGGTAATGCTCAGAGGGCCATATGCAGTGCCAGGGATTCAAACTGGCACTGTGTATTCAGGGACTAGCAGGATGCAAAGTAAGTACAGCACACTTACTGCACAGTACATACACATGTACTCTGTCAAAAATAGCCACAGGCTGGCACATGCACACTCGAATGCAAACACACACAATTTTCTTTTTTGTCCTTTTAACTCACTTCACTTAGAATAAAACACTGAAGTTCCAGCCAAGTTGTGCAAACTGCAAGATTTCATTTTTTTCTACAGATGAATAGTACGTTACTGTGTATGTAAATTACAATTTCTTTATCTACAATATCTTTATCTACTCAACTGTTGTTGAGCACTTGGATTGTTTCCAGAACTTGGGTACTGTAAATAACACTGCAATGAATGTAGGTGTACATATGTTTTTAAAGAAATATTTGTAAATAAATGTTCTTGAGATAGATGCCAAGGAGTGGAATCACTGGGTCATATGGAAACTATTTTTAGCTTTTAAACAATCTTTTTCATATTCCTAGAAATATGATTGAGAGCCAGACCACAACCACGACAATTTTATCAGAATACTCTCTGAAGGACACTGAAGCAGTTGAGTTTCAATAGTTTAAGTTTTTCCAGTGATTCCAGTATGTATTCAAGTTTAGGAACTACTGCAATAGATGATGCAATAGATGATGCATGGGATTAATTCTTGTAACTGCAGTAATACCAGCCACCCTCTTCCCTCTTTGGCCCGCAGAGGTGAGAGTCAGTGTTTATTACCTCAGTGTAGGTGCGGGCTGTTTTGTGCCCAGCATTCTTCTCCTTGCTATTCGTGAGTATTGTTATTAGTAAAACTTACTTCAGTAAGACAGATAACTGATCGATTTAGATTGCTGTCTGAAATTTCAGTAAAACATATTAGCAAAATTAAGGTAGCCAATTAAGAACTACTTTTCAATCTGGGTCATATCTTTGAACTAACTCAATCTTAAAGTAATGTATATGTGCTTGATTAGATTTGACCTGTTGAGAAGAAAGGAGTTAATGTATCTTAATCTGCAAACAGATACATTTTACAGCATATTTAAAATCTTACCAAAAGAATTTTAATATTTTGACATAGGTTAAGCATGTATTAGACATTTAATTAAAGCATTTTTATAATTTCAGACATTAAATATTCTAATTCTGTGTATTCAATAAGTGATTCTTAATAAGTGTTTTTTTTTCATTTATTATTAAGTCCAGTCCACTGTAAGAAGTTACAAATTCCGTTATAAGAGTTCTGGGTGGCAAGCTACCGAGAGTATCCTGCCTGCACGGTAGAGCCTGGCAAGCTCCACTTGATATATTCGATATGCCAAAAACAGTAACAACAGGTCTCACAATGGAAACGTTATTGGTGCCCACTCGAGCAAATCAATGAACAAGGGGACGACAATGCAGTGCAGACAGTGCAATAAATGATGAATTAGCTACTAATTGCTCTGTTCTGATACCCGTTTACCAATTTGCTACATTGAACACTGCTGCCTATTCTTGTTAAAATTCAGTCATTCAACAACATTAACTGAAAACCAACTTTATGAAGAGAAAGATAAAATAATGAACATGACAGAGCCATAGCCCTCGTGAAGCTTAAAATAAAGTGGGAGAGCTTCTGTGATAATTAACATTCTATTTCTACTTCTCAGAACACTTGTTCCTTTCTTCACTCAGTCCTTAGGTGCTGATACTCCACTCGGGCTGCCTTCTTTGTTCTTCTCATATCCAACCCAGAATTTTATATTTGTTACCTATTCAGTGATGATGGCAAAATTTATATAGTGCTGTAGAACTCTATTCTGAGTCTGAACCCATTTACTCTCTATAAAAAGATACTGTAAAGCTGAGCATGTTCTTCAGTGGTAAAGCACTTGCCTTGCACTGTGTAAGTCCCAGGGTTCAATTCCCATCCCATCAAAGAACAAAAAGGAGAAGATTTTGGTACTTCTCTATCTCATTTTCTTAATGGTGCCTTATGATGCACAAATGTTTGATTTTGATGAAGCTCAACTTATTTTTCCTTTGGTTGTTCATTTGGGTTATATTTTTTAAAAACTTGCCAACTCTAAGATGATGGATTCCTGTTTTCTTTGCCTAATAGTTTCATTCGGAGAGCCCGGCAAGCTACCGAGAGTATTCGATATGCCAAACACAGTAACAACAAAGTCTTCAATGGAGACATTACTGGGCCCGCTCGAGCAAATTGACGATCAACGGGAGGGCCTTTACCTTTACCTTTTAATAGTTTCATAGTTTTGATTCCTATATTTATGGTATTCAAACCAAAATTCTGAATGCTTACCTTTCAATTGCTAGAGCTGTTACCGACTGGATTCCACGGGATGTCAAAAGACCGCGTGACCGCCCACCTACCAAATGGTCAAACTTCTTCATCAAGATCATGAACGATCGGTTTGAGGCTCTTCATGTTCCTAGAGCGAACAGACGCCATTGGGCTACACTAGCATGCAACAGGGACAAATGGAGACGTCACTGGCGCCCGCTCGAGCAAATCGACGATTAACGATTAACGGGAAGTTAAGTGATTAAGTGATTAAGTGACCTTTCGATTGCAGTATCTAAGAGCTTAGAAACATAAATTTCTTAGACCATGATTTTAAATATCATAAAGCTGGGGATTGAGAGATAGTAAAGTGGGTAGGGCGCTTGCCTTTCACGGAGCCAACCCAGGTTTGACTCGATTCCTGGCACCTCATATGGTCCCCTAGGCTCACAAGGAGTGATCCCTGAACATTACCAAGTGTGCGCCCATACACACACTAAAAAAGGAAAGAACAAGGAAAAAATACAACCTGATTTTAATAAATACAGACACACACACATACACATACACACACACACACACACACACACACACATACACACACACACACAGATACTTATTTAAAAAAAAAAGAATGAAAAGGAAAGAGTTAGAATATAGCATAGATATATGCTGGAAATTTTTTCCCCTGTCCCATCTGGGTCTAAATCTTGGTAAGGAAGGGTGAAAAAAATAATAGAAGATATGGAAGAGAACCAAAAATAGTAGGTAACTACATTTCCCTTTACCAAGGGAAATAGCCCAGGGAACTAAAAGTCCTTTGGCAAAAATTGTACC